TGTAAGGAACAGTTGCTTAGCCTTCCTTTCTGGAGGCATTCGCAACACATGCCCAAGCCATCGCAGGTGTCACTTCTCAATCTGGAGAAGCAAAGGCTGTGTTCCAAGGCTCTTCAGAAGCAAAGGCTGTATTCCAAGGCTCTTCAAGAAGCAAAGGCTGTATTCCAAGGCTCTTCAAGAAGCAAAGGCTGTATTCCAAGGCTCTTCGCGATTGTATGTTAAGTTGATATTGACATAACTTGAAATGATTTCAGATTTGAATTTGAACGAGTTACCAAAGGTCAAACTGTTGAGAACGTAGGTCAGGAATGCAGGAACAGTGTTAAATTGTTAGCAAAAGGCATTTTCCAAACTTTTCCCATTTTATGACTTATTTTTGTGAAATTGATTTCACGACCGTCGCCCTTATTATAAAAATGACAATGGAACTTTTGACAGAAGCTATGAGTCAATTTTCGAAATACAAGCCAACATCGTAAAACTTCGCATTGCGAAGTCGGGTCATCCAGATCGTCGAGTGAAACCGTTCTGCCAGTTTCGACCTTTTTCTCCTTTCCTTGGATATCGGTTTTGTTTCTGAAAGTGTGTAGTTCTGGACCTCGCCTGCTAGCGCTTCCTGCAGTAAATTACATCGACTATCGTATTTCTTTATGTCATGATCCTCCTTTGGCGAGTAAATGCAAGGGGTGGTCCTTTTGCGCAGTGTAAATCTTATATCAGTAATGGCTATATTACTGGCTGAATTGGACAACTGTCCTTTGAGGTAGCTAACCTAAAACAGGTAAAATTTTACCGCATTTTGCCTTTATACTACGCTTCACCATTTTAAGCCTTTTACTCTTTGGTTTTCCCTTTCGTTCATCTCACACAAGCATCAAGGCTCATTGCCCATCCTTCAGTGTGGCTAACCTCTTGTATCGACAAGCATTCCATTACACTGCTATTTCTGTCTGCCAATGAAAAATGAATGTCTATATTATTATCACCCTTCAAGCTTCCCTGTTTCTCACTTTGAGATTAAAGTAACTCAATATGCGCTGCATCGAACTCTGATGAAATACCATGATTCTTCTTCATTTTTCTTTCTTTGCACTGTGCACTGTATACTGTTTAAATCTGGTATTATTACTATTTTTAATGCGATATATTCAGCGGCGGTATCAAAAGCTTTCCCAGGACATCGAAGTTATATTCTATAACTTCTTCGGCTACGGATCATGGCATTCTTGTTTGGTTGAACGCAATTTTATTCAACCCCAGTTTTGGGTGCGGTACTGTGTCCTATGCACATGCACTGCAGGCACGTAGATACCACAGAACCGCGCCCTGCTTAAATGTCTCCCCTCATTTAGGCACCTAGAAGCAAGGGAGTGGTGCAGTAGTGCTACTGGTGTAAAGTGGAAAATACATTTTTCCTTCTTGAAACTGCATTTTCGTAGTTTTAATCCGGTATCAGTATTATCTTTAACTGTGTTAAGAAAGTTGGTAACCATATCGAGAGATCGGCTTAGAATCTCGCAAAGGAAACGTTTTCTTAAGCGCTAATTCCCTTGAACCAGGAATCAACCAACGAAGCTCTGGTGCTACATCCAAGAAGCGGGTAACATGACGTGGACTTGTGAACAGCGGTGACCTTACGGTGCCAGAGTGCACGACATGAGCTGCCATGCTGTCTGGCGCGAGCAAATCTTAGGGCTGCAATTCATCTTGACCCACCTCATAGCTAACTAAGCAGTTTACAGTCAACAGAATGTGTAACCCCTATTGTTACTTGACAACTTGCAAGTGCTGACGTAAGTTAATTGATTTCTTTATATCGATCAGTCGCTCAGGCGATAACATTAGCACGTGATGATAACTGACCAAATCGTCGAAGTGGCATCAAGCGAGGACAGATATAACGGCTCTGGGCGATACCGTGGACATAAGAAAAAATGCGTTGGAGTTATCAGCGAACCAACGTTACCTTTGTAAGCTGCTTGTAAGCCTTGCAGAAGCATCGGTAACAGGTTCTGAACAAAATTAGACTATCGTTTGGTAGTCGATTTACTGTACACTTATGAACCACATCTTCAAATTCATATTGGCAGTGTTTGTTTGCAGGACGCTGTGCGTTTTAAGACTGACCTCAACTTTCACGCTGTTTATGCAGCTCTCCTTACATCGACAAAATATGGGCTTCCTAAAACAGTATGTTACATATTCAGCTGAGCAGGGATCATAAATGTCAAACCTTATGCATCGCTGCTATGCACTCAGTGACGCAGAAAAACTGAAGTTAGCACTTATCAAGTTCGAAGTTGTCATCCTCAGTGTGGTAGGTCACCTGTCATATTCCACTCAGAGAATATTTAAGGTGGTTTTTCAAGCAGTTAGTAGTGCTCTCGGTAGTATTCACACAGCCAACGTTTGTAGAACTTCCTTCTATTTTAGCTCATCTAATTCAAAAGTACATGATGTGGCGATCCTGCGCAATTGGTTTGCTACTAAATTAATGTGAGAAACGTAATTACATATATGAAGCAGCTACGTGAAATAACAAAACATGAGCAATAATTTGTGACTGACTACTTTCAGATTAAGATATAGTTAGCATATTGAAAAGTATTTTTTGCACGCATTATTTTCACTGGTTTAAGGCGACGATTTTTTCTCATTATTGATCAAAATTATGCATATGCTGCTGTTAAAATACCTCGACCGCCTGATCAAGATTTCATTTGACTTCACGTACTAGTTTTTGATAGTTGTGGTGTACTGGCCAGCCCCACAAAATGCTCAAAATATACGTTTAGTAATTCTGCGGTATTTCTGCTCTTCATAAACCTAATCTGAAGTTTACGCTTCGTGCGAAAACATAAATGTGCAACGTCATTCCGGTGCAAACTATGGCCAAATTTGTTCTCCCGAACCACCACATCAGGCCCACTGTGAACCTCCGATATGGTTTGTCGATGAGGCAATGATAGCGTTCCATCAGAGCAACTTTCTTCACGCTTTTCAGGTGAATCTGATTGATGGAAAAATATTTAAACTATATTCCGGTTAAATCACGTGAGACTACCCTCCGCGTTCATATAAGCATAGAACATGAAAAAGCTTCAATCAGAGCGATCATAATCTGAGCGAAGGCAAGTTACACCACATTTAGTGCGATTAGTGATCCTGAATTTGTGGAAGTTTGGCGTAGTTTCTGGTTGAAAGCCAGCATCAGTTTTTGCAAGGTCAATATCCTCTGTTGTGTGACCCAGAAAAAAAATTTCATGGATCTTTACAGTGAGGGAAGAATGAAAGGTGATAAGTGTAGAGCTAAGTTACATTGAGCGCGATGATTACCATCGCTTAGAAACCGCCATTCTGAAAGGTCATATCTTGTCTTTAGTGCATCTAGCATTCGTTAGGCACTTGATGGTACGGGACGAAATTCAGAAGTGGTTCTTGCGCAACTAGAAACATTGCTGTAAATTCCCAGCTGGACAGACAACAGTTATTCATAATCGATCTAAACTTAAAACAAGGCGCTAGCTGATCTGACGTCTCTGAACATAAATAAAATTTTAATGTATTTTGAATGATTCTAAAGATGACGCATAACTCGTCCAAAGCCAGATATTACACTGCCCCCTTCCTCATAGTTGTCTACACGGACCTTTTGAGCAAGCCAGAGCTCCATGATATTTGAGCACTTGCAGTGCTAGATGCATCTCAAATGATTTTGTCCGCTAGAACAACCTTGTGCTCATCACAAACAGACTATGTTTCAGGA